AGCTGAAAAACAGAAAAGCCACACAAAATCTTCATTTAAGGAAATATTAGTACATCTAGGGTACATTATATAAATAAATTAACATAAAATTGTTTACAAACTATATAATCATCCAAAAGCAACACAGCAAGAAGTCAGTCTCTCTAACTGGCAGGGGAACAAAAAGAATGAACCTACTGGCCAGCGATCCAACAGCATGCCCCCTGCCACCCAGCTCCACCACTCCTCCCTGCTCCTCAAAACAAAGCTCCTGCCTGTTTTCTAGATGAGTACACATTTGTCACCTGGGGGGCCGCACACATTGGGAGGGGGGAAGAGGTCGTATTTATTATTTAGCAATCTATAGTTCTAAGTCAAGTTTAATTAATAAGTTAACTCCGTACAATTTTCATTACTCCCTCTGAAATATCTTTTCATGCTGTTGTCTTTAATCTTCATAACATCTGAAGTAAAACCCCATTAATCTGAATATCTTCTTTAATTCCCCAACTAGACACTCATGGTTTAACATCACTAAAGAGAAAACAGCAAGTAAGCATAATATTCAGAGTCTTCCATTTAAACACATCTTCAATTCGATGCACAAACACCACAATAAAACAAGGAGTGAAAGCCAGATTTGTCATAGTCGTAATTGCTTTTCTAAACTGTTGAATCAGACTCCCCAGTGCTGCATGAAGCTGGGCTAATTATAAAAGAAACCTCACACACTTAAATTATTTACAATTTGCTCTTCAAGTAAAGTACAATTCTAGCCATGGATCAGATCATGGAAAAGCTGTCTCAAGAATCATACGTAAGTTATTTAATACAGCATGAAATAGAGAGAAAGAATATTTTCATCTTTCTTGGTTTGGGTTGGGGTTGGGCTTTTTTTGCTTAACCATACTATATTCTGCTTTGTTTGAAGCATAGCTGTAATCCTCAGTTTGAAATCAACTATTTCTGGTGGCCAACCATACAGGTCAGCTTCATGGTCATAAAGACTTCAGAGAGTGCTGTGAGCATCCCTTAAACCTTAGGCAATCAAATACTTATAGAAAAGCCTAGTATAAGGCAGACAAAGGAAAATCCTAGCATGATAGGAAGACAGCCACTATAAATATCATTTCAGAATCCCCCAGAAGTATTTCCTTACATCTACCTCCAAAAGTCCACAGTGCTCACTACAAACAGACAGACACAAGATGTAAAACTGTCCCAGCAAGTCTGAACCGTGTTTACTAATTGAATGCAAGTTTCCACTACAACGATGGTGCTAAGAGCCAGTTTTTTGATGTAGAGAAAGAGATAAATGATATTACATTTTCTGCTCTTCACACCTATTAAGCTACTCAATTATTGAAATGCTGTATTTAATTGAAATCAGTATTTCAAATGCATATTAAAAAATACCAGTAAAGACTGGGAAAAAAAGCCTGAAACTAAAGAAGTGGATCTACTTTGTTATTCAAGATAAATTTAAGTAATGGATCACAGTATAGAAATTCTGACATGGAGGAAAAGGTACTTACAAATAGGTCCCAAAAAACTTCAAAGGTTTTTAAAGTGTCACAATGGCTAGAAACCAGAAGGAGTCAAACAAGATCATTATGTATATTTCAGAGAAAAATCTTTGGTACGCTCTATTACAGATGTAGCACAACTTATACTAGTTGAATTTGTAAAATCAAGATGGTATGCTGTCATAAAATATATGCTTTTTGTTAAAAAGAAGGTATGAAGTTGATAGTGGAACTATTTGCTGAGACTGTTCTATTATGCTTGAAATCATATCAGATGACCATACTATATCTTAGTTTTTAATTGCTTATGAAAGATGGCAATCAACCTATAGTTACATAATCTGAATTTCTTTTATTATAATCATTGAACCTTATGATCATAAAAGGGAAAAAAAAACCCACCCTTAAGCAGAAAGTCACACTGCCACAATTACACATCCAATTCCCATGAATATCTGCACAGCCCTAAAGAAAGTCATGTAAAACTGAACTCGCTTCTGTTACCAAATTATTTCATTTAGTTGCCTATAGTCTTACTTCAAATATAAACTATTCAGATAACAACAACTCATTTTCCTCAGTTTGTAAATTATAAAAAATTACTGTTTGATATGTCTCAAATTAGCAGACTGCAGTCAAAACTACGCTAATTCAATTTTAACAGCTTTAATTCAAAGTTTGTTAATCCATGGGGTATATTTACCTGAACATACTGCTTCTGCAATATATTGCAATTTTTTAAACAGATTGTGGAACAGTAACATACTACTCTTCCTGTCTTTGTATTAAATTCCTAAAGTAGTTTTAAGTTACTTTTAAGCATTCAAGAGTTACATTTAGTATGCACCGAGATGAATAATGGTATGCACTAAATAAACTGATTAAGAGAAATCACAAATTAGCCTGCTTAGAAATAGGTCAAGAAGCATAAGTAGAATTTCTATTCATCGTTGTCACTCACAGCACAAAAACATTATTTGCTAAAAAAAGTTAAAAACCCTGAAATTACATAATTTCTTTCATAGTATTTGCTTGCATATTATGAATATTAATTCATTTTATTATTATGAAGGAATATCATGACTGTTATTTTTATTGTAATTGGTCTCCTACCTTAGTATGACACCAAGCAACATTCCTTTCATATTCTCCAAAGAAAG